AGTAAAGTTTTGCAGATCACTTTTGTAGAAGTGTTTATTGATTTGACGTGACTTCACAACAATGCTGTATGGCAGCACCTGATTGGTACTCTCCCTCTCCCCTTATCTTGAGAAACTGACCCCAGCTGAGGTCTGGCCCTGTCTGTCAAAGTGGTTTTTAAGATGTTCAAATAAATATATGTATGTATGGTTCATGGGCATTCAGCAGACTCACTACCTCGTTGCTTGGGAGACTGGATTAGAAGAATACATGACCTGAGAGCAGAAGCCTGCCTTTTTCTTGGTGCTTATCTTATCGTAGTGGACGCTTACAACATTTGCCCCTTCATGATTGACTGCTTCACTCTGCATCATGGTTGCCAGGTCTGTCCATGACAGAGGTTGTCATGGTTTCCTCACTTAAACAGTTTGCTTTGTTTCTGATAGAAGATGGAAATTCACTCGAATGTGCTGGTGTCTCTGTCATGTTTGATACACATTGACTTAAGAGCTCGTGTGCTGCTTTGAGTATTTTCTTTTTCAGACAGTGAAATCTGATATAAAATACCTTCTAACTTATATTATTACGATCTTTTCATTCATTGAGAGCCCAGATGCTTGTATTTCATGAATGAAAAAGGAGACTTTTAATATAATAAAGTTGCATTTCATTTGATTTTATTAAATATTGGTGACTAAACTACTTGCTTCAGAACTTTTCTCTGGATCATGGAGCTTTGTCAGTATGTGAAAATGGACTATTGGATTTGTGCTTTTTTCAAGTGGATTTGGCACTGTTCAGAAACAGCAGAACATGGAAATGTTCACAAATTAAAAAGTGAAGACAAAAAAAATCTATTCCCAAACTTAAAATATGCGAAAGTCAACAACTAAATTTGAAAGTTAAAAATTAAAAATTTAAATACCTTTAGTTTTGAGCACATGGAAACTATTAATATTATGTAAGCATGCAGTTTCATTTTGAAGTATGGTAGAGTCCCAGTTTTCTTTTTGAATGATTTGATTCACATGGAATTTAATAGGATCTATAGAGTAATATGGCCCTCGGTGACACAGTGGTTAAGTGCTTGGCTGCTAACCAAAAATTTGGATGTTTGAACCCACTGGCTGCTCTGGGAGAAAGATGTGGCAGCCTGCTCCTGAAAAAAACTTACAGATTCGAAAACCCTATGGGGAAGCTCTCTTCTGTCCTGGAGATTTGTGTTTGGATTGTGTAGGATTGTATGCGCTGGAATTGATTTAACAGTAATGGCTTTATGTATTACTGTAAAATATAGTGATATGAAATTATGTCTTAAAAATCATGATTTTTAACATTGATAGATACCAGTAATGCTTAATTTGTATTTCCATAAATAAAGAGGATCTTTAAAAACCTCTGCTGGGAGAAATGTCAATTTGTAGTGAGTCATCTTTGATGAGTAATATTCTACAAATCATTTCTCTTCGTTTAGATTTTTAAAATGTCACTCTAATTTTTTAAATGTGTGTGCTATATTTTAAGTATGTATTGAGCAAAATATTTTGTAGTCATTGTTTCAGAATGCTTTCACATTGGTTACACATTTATTAGAATCGTGTTGGATATTTTCCTTAATGTTAATTATTAAGAAATACTGAGTAATAGCAACAGATGTTGCAAAAGGAGAGCCCAGTCCCTGGAAAAGGCCATCATGCTTGGTAGAGGGGCAGCACAAAGAGGAAGGCCCTATTCAAGGCAAATTGATACAGTGGCTGTGAGGTCCAGGAGCTGTTTCGTTTTGTTGAATATAGGCTCGCTGTGAATCAGAACTGACTCAGTAACCCCTAACAACAATAGCAGCAGCAACAGATGTGCAGCCCTAACATATCTGTCTACATAGAAAGCATTGGTTTTTAAAAGTTTTAATATTCATTTGTGTATACTGTATTATTTTTAATGGGGTGAGATTAATAAACTAAATTACCCAAATAGAAATAGAAATAGAAGATCCTTTTAGCAATGTGTAGTATAGGCACACTGTAAACAATTAAAAAAATTTTGATTTGAGTCAAATTTTATAGAGCAAATTAGCTTTCCATTCAACAATTCATACAAATTTTGTTTGTGCCATTGATTGAAGCCCCACAATATCACAGCATTCCTTTTTCCTTCCTTCCTGCGTTTACTGTTTGCGTCATCCTGTTTTCCTCTCTTCTGGCCGCCTCCGCTTTCTCCCTGTGCAATGCTATCCTTTTGGTCTTTATCTCTGCATTATGTGAATGTTGATAGGGATATATATCACCGTGTTTTTCTCTTTTAATGACCTATACAGTGGAATCACATCGTATGTTTACTTTAAATACGTACTGTAAAATGAAATGTGTATGACCTCCTCTTCATACGGGGGAAGGAGAGTCACCATTATCTGGGATTAAATCAGTCCACTCAGAGCGTATGTGCCCTGCAGTGAGAGCGGCTGGTCCCCAGCCAGTCTCCGCTCTCCGCCAGCCTCTGGACTGAATGGGAATGTAGGATTCACAGAGGTATTTCCTAGTGCAATATTCAACCAAAGGAGAAAGATGACTAGCTCTGGGGGAGAGTATGTTGCCTATGAGCATGCCATTGCCTGAAGAGATTTGGACCATGAACAGTTTTCCTTTATATGCTGACACTTTCTGTAATGATTTTAAAATGTAAATAAAAATTTAATGATTGTGCTAGCTTTCTACCACAACCCTGTACTATGAATAGTTCATTTTTCTTTATTTTTTTAATTTAATTTTTAAAAGATCATTTTATTGGGGGCTCTTACAATTCTTGGTACAATCCGTACATCAATTGTATCTGACATATTAGTACATGTATTACATTGTTCTTTTGTAGACATTTACTTTCCATTGAGCCCTTGGGATCAGCTCCTCTTGTGCCCCTCCCCCCTTAACCCTCGTGGCCCCTTGATAGATTATAGATTATTATTTTCAAATCTCACACCAACTGCTTTCTCCCTTCCCCTCTGGTTTCTGTTGTTCTTCCCCCTGGATGGGAGTGTGTGGTTATGTTCCATTCATTGTGATCGGTACACCTTCCCTCCCCACTTCTTTCCCCTTCCCCGTACCCTTTTGGTATCTCTATTCCCTTTCCTGTTCCTATGTTCCATGTGTTGTGAGTTTTATCTCTTGCCTATACCTATGCACATGCTTCCATCTAGTCCAGAGTGGGAAGCAGCACTGGGGTCATGATAGTGGGGAGTGAGGACAACTCAAGGCATCAGAGGTATATTATATGACCCATTAGTGCTCTACTGCACCCTGTTGACTCATCCCCTCCCTGCAACCCCTCTGAGGGTGGATATTCCATTGTCCACAGATGTACTTTGCACATTTTTATTTCTAATGCTTATTTATGATAGAGACCTGAAGAAGCAGGAGCTGATGCTAGGGGCTTATGTGGAGAGCAAATGTTTTGAGAATGATGAGGGTAATGAATGTACAAATGTGCTTTATACAATTGATGTTTGTATGGATTGTGGTAAGAGTTGTATTAACCCCCAATAAAATGATAAAAAAAAAGACCTGAAGAAGCTTTTTCCTTTGCCTCAATACTCAATTTTGGTATTGATATTTGGTATAATTCCAAACTAGTTTTGTTTATCTGCTACTTTCCTATATGTTTGGATTTGTTTTTACATAGTGTCCAAAATATTTTCAACAAACAAGTTATTTAATCTTGCCTCTAATGTAATTGATATTCACTAAATAACTGAGGAATGAACAAGCAGCTGTCACATAGGCTTAATTATTCTGATTTTAAAGATAAAGAAACTAAAGTACAAGTGAAGAAAAAGATATTATATTGGAACTAGAAAATCTTGGTTCATAGCCCACTTCTGAAATTATGTAATTTTGGGGAAGTCCCATTGTCTTTTTGAATCTGTTTTCTCATATGTACAATTAGGATACTATTTCTTCAGAAGGTTGTTGGGTGGCTTGAATGAAATCATCTCTGTGAAAATTCTTTGAAACCAAAAGGCTTTATACAAATATAAGGGCAAGATTACAGTATATTATATACCATCAATTGTAAATTCATCAGCTTAATAACATTTTGGGCATAATGGGAAGAAGAGTTCAGTCTCTCTTGTTTCAACCCAGCCTCAAATCTGGACATATTAGATCTAGTTAATCTATATCCAATTACTAATATTCATAATAAAAACAATTTTGCAAAACTTTTGCTGACATGAGCCAACACTTCATAGGTCGTTTTATGCCTGAAATATATGTGAAAGTTCTTTGAATAATAATTAAAAAGAAACCCAGATAAATACCTTTGATTCTTTCCCACTGTAATTTATTCCAGTTTGTAACACACAAAAAGGGATATAAATCATCTACCTAGTCACAATCTTGCTGATTTAACCGGATCGTTCCCAGAATATGGAATAAAAGGCCTGGTGATCCACTTGTTAATTTCATTCATTTCTTTGAGAAAGAATATACCTATATTTGTTATGACATTTAAATTTTATGATATAGGTGTATGCCAGGTAATTTGTTACTTATTATTTTTCAGTAAGTAACATTCTAAATCTGTAAGAAAAGTTCTTATTTTATAATTTTCTGTGTAGGAAATCCAAGATAGAGACAATAACTAAATGAATAGCTACTTAGGGTTATGAGGGTTATGATAGGGGAGGTTGAGAGGAGTGGGGAGCTAATAACAAAGTACATATCAAGATGGTCTTTAAAAAGTACCTGTTTTGTGTTTTTACATTACTTTATTTTATTGTGAGATTTTGGAGGATATTCTATAATGACAGATTTGCTTTTATAGGTCTTAAATCCATAATACAATGCACTTTGAGATAATGGGATGACACTTTGAAATATCCAATAAATATATCAACAAAAAGTAAACACCAAAGGAGAAAATGTGGGAATGAAGTATGTAATCAAATAAGTGAGGGGAAAACAGCTTTGAGAAGGATTGTAGAGGAGTCACAGGCGATATAACCGGTGTGCTTCTTGTTTTCTTTCAGGAAAAGTCTCATCAGCTGGAGAGCATTGCTCTTTTCTTTGAACTGCGCTCTGGTTTCTCTGAAATCAGATTTTGTATTCCCAGGGCTCCACTCTGCAATGCCAGCACAAACATACATCAGCAGCTGCACAACACTCTAAAGACGGTATCTAGCAATTACTTATTCCTTTTTGGAAACCTAGCCATGATATTTAAAATTTTTTTTTTGAGTTTTAGGGGGTGGGAGGAGGAGTAAGACAGAGTAAATATACTTCGTGAATGGTACATGTAAAATAATGATATGGATTAATAGAAAAGATTGCTTTTAACAGTGAAGGAGTCAAGATAATTGTCCTATTTTATTCCTTTTAAAACAAAATTACAAAATGATTTGTATTAGCTGTGTAACTGAGTGGATTTGTTTCCAGGTTTCTAGTATGGTAAGTAGGTGTCATGTAATGAATCTGTTGTTGACCAGTGAATTGTAATATGAAAGCAATGTCATAATTCTGCATAAACTTACAAGATCTCTTTTTTAATAGCATGAAGGCTCAGAAATATTCAGCAATAGTATTTAAACTCTACCAAACCAAAACCAAAACTCACTGCCATTGAGCTGATGCTGTCTCATAGAGACCCTATAGGACAGGGTAGAGCTGCCCCTGTGGTTTTCTGGGACTGTAACTCTTTACAGGAGTAGAAAGCCTTGTCTTTCTTTCATGGAGTGCTGGTGGTTTTGAGCTACCGACCTGATAGTTAGCAGCCTAATTCATAACCACTATACCTCTAGGGCTCCTCTTCTAACTCCACAGAAGTATTAAGAAATAATAACAAAGCAAACCAAAAACATTCAACTAATGGCCTTAAGTTGTTATAATTTACTCTGACCCCATGAGTAGAAATGTACTCCATGAAGATATCAGTGGCTGCTTTTTTTAAGTAGATCACCAGGTCTCTTTTTGTAGTGCCTCTGGGTAGACTTGAACCACCAACCTTTTGGTTACCGTTTGAGAGTGTTAACTGTACCTTTACTGAGGTGTATTGTTAAAGCTCGGTATTGCTAGTATACATTTCAAGTATGAGCTCTAACTTTATGCTATGAGTACTGTTTGTGGTGCAGTGAAAGATGAAGAGCAGAACATTTGGGCTACAGTCTTGGTTTTCTACTTAGTAATTTTGTGTCTTTGACAATGTTCTTAACTTCTCTTTCTGTTTGTATCCTCATTTATAAGAGAGATTGAATAGAATCTACTCACAAACTCATGGACCACAATGACCCAATCCTGTTGTGCATGGGGACTTCATAATTTGAGAGTTGAGTTGATAGTAGCTAGAGCAACATATAAGAGGCGACTTCAAAAAGTTTGTAGAGCTATGGAATCAAAAGATAAAGTAATTTTTCCATGAACTTTTGGAATCACCCTCATATAACTTACAGTGTTATGGTGAGAATTTATGTGAAAATGCCTTTTAAATTTTAAAATAATATTAAATATACCACCTAAAATACGCCTTAGGAGCCGTGGTGGTGCTGCTGGGTAAGTGTTGGGTTGATGATCACAAGGTCAGCAGTTCAAATTTACCAGTGGTTCCTTGGAAGAAAGTTGAGTTTATCTGCTTCTTTAAAGGTTTACAGTCAGAATCAACTCAGTGGCAGTGAGTTTTAAAGTACTCATACTTTATATGGATAAAAAGAGGTTTAAGAAATGTGTGTAATGATCTCTGAAGACAAAATGGGTGCACAAGCAAATGTGGTGAAGGAAAGCCCGACTGTCAAAAGATATAGCATCTAGGGTCTTAAAGGATTGAAACAAGACCACATGGAAGAAGCACACCACCTTGTGAAACCATGAGGTGTCAACAGGACCAGGTAACAGGCATCAGAAGACCCCCCCAAACAAACAAACAAACAAACAAACAAACAAACAAAAACATATTGTTGAGAATGAGGGGGCTTGGAGACCCCAAACCCATCTGTAGACAATGGGACATCCCTCACAAAAGAGTTGCAAAGGAAGGATGAGTCAACCAAGGTAAAGTATAGCACTGATGAAACACACATTCCTCTGGGTCCTTGAGGCTTCCTCACCCTCACTATCTCGACCCCAACCCTGCCTTTCACCGTGGGCTAGTCTGGAGCATGTACACAGGTATAGATAAGAGCTCAGGACACAGAATCCAGGTCAGATAAACCCCTCAGGAACAGAAATGGGAGCATAGTGATACCAGCAGGGTATGGAGAAGGTGGGGAGAGGAGGGAAGAAACCTTGGGGGAAGGGAGACTGCAGTCCGTGTAAAATATGAAAATAATAATAATTTATTAAGGGGTCACAAGGGTGGGAGGTAGGGAGGATAAAAAGAGGAGCTGATACCAAG